GTTAAATGGGGATTATAACTAGTTTAAAATTTTGTTTTCTAAATTATTTTCTAATTTGGTCATTTCAGTTGTAGTCTCTATCTAGCTTTATAAAATCGGGCTTTACCCCAAAATTTTTACAAACAAAAAAATAATTTTTATTTAATTTGATTTATAACTTTAATTATATTTAAAATTTTATTGCCAGAATTTTATAGTTATAATAATCAATTAAGATCAAAATTTAATAAACTATAATTTGATTATATTTATTTTTTGTTATTAAATAATTTGAATACGATTTAATTGAGCCTTCTTTCGGGCTTGACTCAATTAAATTTGATGCTTAAAATAGTTGTTCCTATTCAAATTATTTCTTTAACAAATGAATTAAATAGGATCTTTTATATTGCAAGTTTCAACAAGGAAAATGCCTACCAATGTCTAACAATTTTCAAATGATCGAAAACCTCTTTAGTTGAGGTTCATTTTAGGTAAGCACTCTTCTTGATCAAGCTCATCGGGGATGAAGTTATTTGATCCTAGCGGGTTACCTACATAGGCATGAATGAACATATATCGAGTTCCTTGATTCACTTGCTCCTTCGAAGAGTGTTTGGTGAAAAGGACAAGGGAATTGAGGAAAACATTTAATATACAAATGAACAAAAAGATAAATTAAATAGAAATATGAAAATTGTTCCACTACAAAAAAAGAGCTATCGCAGCACAATTTTTGAAATTTATACTTTGCTTTCAAAGTTTCCTTAAGAAGAGCTCCATCATCCAAGATTACCATAATGATGTTGGTTTGGTCTCTATAATATATTTGGCCATTACTAATCGTAAATTGCATTGATATGTCCATATTTTCTCATTTTCTTTAGTTTAGCTTAGTTTATCTAGCTCTCATGAGCGATAATCGAGTCAAGTCCCATGAAGTATGCTTATGTGGACTGTTAGAAATTATGAACTGCCCTTTTTCATAAATTTAAAGTAGTGCAATGAGGACATAAATGCTTAAAATAATTCTATTATTATATGATCATCCCCTTGGTCTTTCTCCTCTCTCCTGAGAATTCACAGAGTGGCTTGCAATGGGGTGATTTGAGAAGTAAGCAATTTCATCTTATCAAAAATAGATTTAAAAATTATATTGATGAAACTCCATATATTGATAAGGACACGATAGATCTTGTAGTTAGCAACAAGAGTATAGTCCACTTAAGCATTTCTAAAGGGGTTACCACTAACTAGTTTATCTTCCTTGGTGAATGTAATATGAGTGACCTAAGCTATTGACATTCGAAAAGTAATCATTGAGTTAATCACACATAGAATTATCTCTTAAGATTTACCCAATGAGATTTCCTAGCTCCATCTCATAATGAGAATAAAAAGCAGTAACCTATGATATGGGTTGCAATAGAGAATAAGCTCATTTTCCTAATCTTTAATTTATCCTTTATTAATTACCTACCTGATTCTTAATGGATGAATCTCTTCACATTTTCTTCCTCTATTAAGTTCTCCACCAAGATTCAGATATCTTGGCATTCCTCAATGTCATGCGAGTCATCATTGTGGAATGCAAAAATTGTCTAGGTGTCACTGGCACGTGCACCACTTTCATTGACACCAAAATCATAAAGAACCTCCTATTTTGAATGGCCTAAGCTAATTCAGATATGAATATGGGCTAGGGAGTTATGGTCAAGGTAATAATGATTGGATGTATCTATTCATGTTTGTGTAAGAGAGCAGTGTGTAGTGCTTCCATGCACCATTAGTGGAGTGGGTTGTGCCACGATCCTCAATATTCTCATCAGTAAAGGAACCCTCAATTGGTTGTAATAATGTAGTACATGTTGTGTTTGATGCCTTCTCCTAGTTCATGGGCCATAATGTAACTCATATTGTGCCCACAATGTTAGGGTTGATCCTTCCATACTAGGAATTCTCTAGGCTAAGAGTGTTACAACTCAAACTAAGAAAATATTTGTGGAAAACTCGAACATGACTCAATTTGAAGCTTGGTTTTTTTCTTTTGAATATGAACAAGAAATATTTGATTAGGCCAATATAAATCATGATGAATCAACTGATAGTGATTGTGCTAGCTCAACAAACTGACAAGTTAAGTTGAGCCAATATCAAGCTCCTTCTATAATATTCACTGCTCAAAATTTATCTCAACTGTCATTAATAAGCGACTCATAGTCTAATACATATGATTTTTAAAATATCTCCGAAAAAAATAGAAAAAATAAAGATTTAATAGCTATTGTGCCAATCATCGAATAATACATTAGATTTCCTAGTCTTATAGGAAATATGTTGAAACAAAGAAAAAGTCAAATTGAGTTATTCTAACCTTTACAATGGGATTACTCTTTGCAAGAAGCATCAATATGATACTAATTGATTTTATGAAGATTCCTTAATGTCAATATTTGCTCCATTAAATCTATCTCCATTACTCCATCAACCAAAATTATCATGCCATAATTTTCTTGACAGTTAATTGCATTTAAACTAGTAGTACTAAATATCCCAACCACAACAAAATCAATTCAGCTAAAAGGAACTATCACACACCAAACTCCCATGAAATAAAATTTCCGCTCCATTTGATGGCAACACAATTTTCCGAACCGCAATAGCACCTTCCTTAATAGGAGTAGTAACAAGAACTAATCAGCGCAATATTTGGAAAAAAAAGTAAATAGCTCATATATAGAAATTCAATTATTCATCATAATGTTATATTCTCAATCCTCCTTCATCTAAGAGGAAGGCAAAAGGGTCAGTTCAAAATCCAACTTTTTAAAAACTTTATAAAAAACTCATTGAGTTATCATGTCATGCATTAGAAGGATGAGCTTCCATATATATGCAAATTCATTTTTAACAATTTATTACTATAAAACAATTAGTATAAATTATTCCCATTAATTCTACCTACTTTATTTAGAGTAGAAATATTTTTAGGATCTAGTAGAAATAATTTTTTCTATTTATTTTCGCTGAAAAGCTAAGTAAACTAATTCTAATAATAACATCAGTTGGACTAAAATTATAGATTCAGTGCTTAAATGAAAAGATGGATATTATCGACTTATATAATTTTCAATATGAAATGGGTAGGTAAAATTATGAAAATCAACTATTGAATAATTTTTTTTCTTCATCTCCATTTTTTAAAACTTTAAAATAATGGATGAGACATTTCTCTTATTTATAGTTTATTTAAATATCGTTAGTGGAATATGTATATGTGAGGTAAAACCCATTAAAATAAAAATTATTTATCAATATAAAATTGGCCCCTGTAGTTCCGTACTACTTTATTTTATTATTTCCTTATATGAATACCACACCTCTTTACTTACCGTTCTTAAGATTTATTTGTATAGTTATTTTTGAGTTTGTTTAGTCCAAAGATTGGAATGAGATCCCATTACGACTATTTCTTCCTATCGAATCAACAACCGATTATATTGTCTAGTAATTAGCATTGAATTTCGTCCAAGGAGTTGGTAAATATTTCTATATGATTGTCCATTGAGTTATTTATGCTTAGATGACATGCTTTAATGATGTTCTTGCTTCTCAAAGCATAAAATCAAGCTATATTTCAATCACTGAGATAGTGTACTAGATTGTTGATATCATTGAGGGTATCCCTATTCAATATTAATTATTCATGGGACTTACATTGAGAGTACGAGCACATTTTAAACTCTTAATAAGTCCTGCAATAATTACCAAAATAACCGACAAATTATGCAGGTATCTTTCAAAAGAGATTGTATTCATGTATGCTGTATCTTGCCAATTTACGAAAAACATACATCATGAAGTAGTATCTAATGGTTTACTGTACCACAACATCTATAAATTATAATATTT